GATAGGATATTCAAGTATTCATTTGTGATGGGATCATTGTCCAAAATATTTATATTGACATCTCCCAAGAAAATATGTTGCTTTAAATGAACTTTATTTTGATTTTGAAAAAAAAATTCGATATTCTTCAAAAACTCGTGGGGTTCTGAACATGGCGGACGATAAATTCCAGATACCTCAATTTTGTTATGGTTAATTTGGATCATTATGTTTAAAATTTTGATTCCATCGGTGAAAGTGAATGTATCATGATTATATTGTAGATAAATAGATCAACTAATCCAGTTTCTTTACGAAAAAATGTAATTCTCTGGACCTTTTTTCTATAAGTATTATCTGTTTTCGTAATCTCGTACGATTAAAATGACTGAGACTTCAAAATGTTGGAAAATAAACTCGAGAAAACGAAAAAATAGTAGACAAATATCAACCGATTGTAGCGAACTGGCCAACTGAAAAATTAGGAAAAATGCTCGGTATTAGTCCCTAATAAATTATTTAAAGTTTCAGGATTGTATCTTTCTATTGTTGTTCAATAAATGTCGACAGGTGAACGTTCAGTAAGCTGTGAAATATCTAAAAAGTCGGCTGTGCCTCAGGGGTCTATACTTGGGCCACTCCTGTTCCTCTTCTACATTTCCAATTTTTTGCTGATGAAACCCAGCTTTATCACCATTTTGATTGCGATTCATCGTACCCTTTCGCTTTTTGAAACGATTTGATTCGTTCGTTTTCGAAGGCGTAGGGAATATAGAGTCAATCTGCTTGTTCACTTTTATGTCAAATATCAGCTGATGTCAAGTGCGTACACCTGCATTTGTATCTCGTCCCAGTCCAGTCCATCAAAACAATTCCTTAGATAGAGAAGAAGGATAGGGACAACGACACAAAGAAACCGAGGATCAGCTGTATGTATAATTTACTCGGAAGATAATCAGCTGTTAGGTGGAAGCCGTACAACCAGTAGAAAAAGACAGATATATCTCTCTGCACTTGGTACAATAACAGACCTTAAAAGAAGCCGTTAATATTCTATTACGAGGGTTGACAAATAAATATTAATCGTACAAGAGATATACTGGGTGTTGATTAACAGACGATTCTTTCAGTCAAAATGGTTCGCAAATTCTTCGTTCTCAAGATACAGGGTGTTAAATTAAAAAAAAGAAGTTTTTTCGTAAATAACTTAAATATCCTTTACCTGGATTCCTTATCATTTTACTGCGTAACCAATCAGAAAAATCTTGTCGTAAAGGCAAATCTCTGAGCAACAGTGCTTGCACACGTTGCATATGAAATGGATATAACTGCTGGTCTCTTAAGATCTGCAACACTGTAACATGAGTAATATTCAGTTCTTCAGCTATTTTCGGTATGATAATTTGCTTTAATTGCATTTAAAACAGCTTCTCCAGTTTGAACTATTCGTATCGTTGCAGTCCTGTCGATGAAAACCGTCGATTCTTTAAAGCTACCTGTTTCAGAAAGTCGTAGTTGGAGACGTACAAAAGTTCTTCTAATAGGCAATGCACGTATACGTATATATAGATTTGCCCTTGTATATCGCCATCGACGATTTCCAACGCATAATAATGATGCGACGCGTGATTTCAGAAGGTCATATTAGATGTTACATTGGCTTCCTGAAATATACCCATGATACTGAACAGCCATGTCTTTATATAGTCGAACATGTGCATGTACACATTTAGATAATATTATTCGCCGCAACGTTTTTCGTACCGACACATTTGGTATCAATTTGGGTGGGTTCGTAAACATGAATAATTTGCTTTCACGTCAAATCAGGAAGGTATGTTAGTACAAGATTTAAACTGAGATAAGCGGTACTGTTGTTCTACATTTTCTAGTACTCCAGGGAACAATGAAATAACCATCTAAATAAATCCAAATAAAATGTTAAACGCTCTTAAACTTCTAGATTAATATTTTATCAATTTCTATTGATGTTTGGGTGCATATTTCACAATCTACGTGTAGTAGTATATTAAGTGACATATAAATCCGAACACCCAGTTTAAATGGTTTTATTTTAATAAAAGTTGGTGAATGTATTTATCTTACTGTAAATAACAAGTGAAAAAATTTTCAGCCTTATCAGTTGGACATTCCGGTTTTTATACTGCTTTTTTTTTAATTCACTAACGCTCTAAAAATGAATATTTCAGCCGCAGTAAAGAATCAACGTTGGTTCTTGACATCCTTTACGATCGGTTACGATGCCTAGAGTACGGAGACCTGTACGATTCCGTCAACTTAGTGAGTTTGATAGGGGCCGTATAGTGGGACTTCGGGAAGCTGGACTTTCTTTTCGGGCAATTGCAGTTAGAGAGCAAAGAAGTGTAGACACTGTGGTTAGGTGTTGTCAGGCATGGCTTCGAGAAGGCCGTACGCAAAGAGCAAGGGGCACTGGACGCCGCCGTAGAACAACAGACCGTGAAGATCGCCGCCTAAGATTATTGGCCTTAAGGGACCGTTTCTCCACTACCAGGTCCATTGCAAATGAATGGTTTGCAGAACACGGAAGACCTATTGGCATGCGAAGTGTTTACCGACGAACGAGAAGTTTAGGCTTGTTTTCATACCGGCCACACTGGGTCCTCCCTTTAACTCGAGAACACCGACGTAATCGCCTTGAGTGGTGCAGACAACGGTCACTCTGGGATCAGGAATGGAACAGTATTGTCTTTAGTGACGAGTCTCGATTTTGTTTAGGCATGCACGATGGTCGTGCCAGGGTTAGAAGGCGACGTGGTGAAAGGAGGAATCCACAGTTTTTTGTTGAAAGACATGTTCATCACACTGTTGGAGTTATGGTTTGAGGTGCTATAGCTTATGGTTCCAGGTCACCTTTAATCTTCATCAGAGGTAACATGAACGCGCAGCGTTATATCCACGAAGTTCTAGAACCCCATCTTTTACCCTATCTTGACACCCTGGCGGATCCAACTTTCCAACAAGATAATGCCCGACCACATGTTGCAAGAGTCACAATAGACTTCTTTCAACATAATGATGTCACCTTGTTAACATGGCCACCAAGATCTCCCGACTTATCCCCAATTGAGCACATTATTAAAGGTCAAAGGGCTTTAAAGCAGTGCAATCATTTTGAAATTTTTATCATTTACTTATTATGCTTCATTAAGTACTTATACAAAATTTTATTAAAATAAAACCATTTAAACTGGGTGTTCGGATTTATATGTCACTTAGTATATATACAATGGGTGAATAAATATTTTTCAATCCACAGGAGGACAATGCCTGTACGTATGTACATGGATCAGTAGTATGTTGAAACGTGTGACATTCCAAAAATAAAACAAAAAAGTTGAAAAAAATGCATATCAAGAAGGTGTACCAGAAAACGGAATTATTTTTTAAAAGCTATTTATTTGTTATCAAAGATGCCGCGGGTAAACTCTAAAAAACTGCTGACAGGTGCAGTCATACAATTTTTCTATCTAGAAACCATTTGTAACTCAAAATTGCGCGTATGTGATCGGTAGAAATTCAGACGAGAGAAATAGTCAATTGACAACAGCGAATCGCTGCATCTCGGTATCGATGAATCGATCTCAATGAGCCGAATTTGTCAGAGATGTGCGTGTGAACATGTGATTGAACGGTTACCTTGGGAAAAAATGTTGCTTGGTGTGCGAGATTCAATTGGAGGTTAATTGTGAGGTCGGACTTACCGCTAAAATTAATTCCAGGCCCAATTTAGACGAAGTGGGTGTTAAACGTCTTCAAGGTTGACGGTGGGGTCACAATTCAGATTCATCGCTCGCCAACGATACCGCTTGCTGATATAATTTGAATTACGAGCACTGATACAGTCAATATTGCCTGTATAGCTTATTCACTCTTAAGTATGCACATTTTTACTTCTCACGATTATTATCAGTAGTAGTATTTCGATTACCAGTGCCGGATTTGAGTAATGGCAAAATGGACATTGCCGCCTTGGCCAACCGATGAAGGGTGGTCACGAAGCCCCTAGCAAAAATCAGCTCTAGTGTCTATAGAGGGTGGCGCATCGAAAACGAAAAGTAGTACAAACTAATCTGATGTACCTATTAAAGTCTACTTTAAGCTTTAAATCAATAAATCTTCAAAACTACTGAACTGAAGTACCGGCGTGATAGCTTTTCAGTACAAATCTGTATTTTCTCTGGATCCACACTTTTCCAGTTCTCCCGAAACTTTTTAAACATTGGAATATCAGGGCTTGTAGTCACTTGGTCGATCGTTGATTTTAAACACGCCTTTCAACACCAATTCGTAGACGTGATGGCGGCAAGCAAAAATAAGGATCTCTTTATTAAGTTCCGTTAATGCGACCCGTTTTTGAAGCAGTAGTATCACAGTAATAGCATCTCAAACTCCCTGAGCCTGCTCGTTGCCTGAAGGGTTATCCAAATTGGGCCACAGCGAGTAATTCCTCTTTATTTTCATCTGCTATAATAATCGGCAGACGTTCTTCTTTAGATCTGCGTGCATTTAAAGATGGAAACAATTTACGATCCCAGTTTATTTATTTATAGGTTAAGATAGTAATAAGCTGCGACATGGTTCAGTATGAATGACCCTCTAACGGACAAACGAAGCACTTGCATAGAGGTAAATGATGTCCAGTCAATTTATTTTGGTTCTGAAAATACGTGGTATTTCTGTGGACACCCTGTAGATTCGTAATCAGTGACCTTGAAAATGCGGTTTTACCAAATTTTGTTTTGTCTGATCAGGTTTTGGGCTATTTTTGTCACTGTGAGCGGAAAAATAAACGAATTCATGTAATCTTCAAACTTTGCTTACCGAGCATTTAACTATTTTTTTGAGAAAATTACACAAATGCAGGTTTTTTAGAAATTTCATTTTTTGTTCCATTTTCTGTAACCGTTGAAACTCCACAATATTGTTGAGGTAATTGTTCATTCATCGCTTCTACATGCGTGAAATTTATTTTCTTACAGAACGGCGGAAGTTGCTAGACAAGATAAATGGAGAATTCCTAGGTGGCGAACTTACCGCAATTATGGGACCTTCAGGTTGCGGGAAAACTAGCCTGATGAATATACTCGCAGGTTTCACGTAAGTTGAATATATTTCTATTATTAAATATGTTTATTTTCTACGCCAATTGTCTGTCGAACTGTCCCCGTAATCTTATAACTGCCTATAGTCAAATACCAGAATTGATGACAGTGCGCCACTGCTTTGCTCTACCTTTTGAGTACAGTGACATTTACCGACATTTCACAAAGAAGTGCCGCATTTTCGAAGGCCTCCGCGTAATAGCAGTGGCGTACGATGAGTTTCGCTAATGTCATCAATTTTGGTATTTTACTATATAGTAACGTATGTTTTTCGAATATCGCGCATTTCGTTCTTTGTTGTGGAATAAAACCAGACTTTGGAATTATTTCAGGGAAATTTGCTAAAATGATTAGACTACATATCGACAAATGACACATAATTAATTCTGAGGGATCGGTCAACGCCAGGTACACAGAACCGTATTTTGTTGTGTTTTTTTGTACGCTACCGATTCATTTTGTACAGGGTGGCCAACTAAGAATGTGGCCAAGAGAAAAACCTCGAACATGTTTTCAAGTTTCTGAAATGGCTGACCTTTAGAGTCGAGGATAGTGTAAACTTTTTTGTTTTACAATAAAAATTTAAGGTATTTCCGAATAAAATTTTCTTTGGCCTAAATTTTAGTTTAGGAACAAAATATCGAGATGCGGTTATCGCGGGCTTGTTAAGACATCATTTAGCTACTTTTTTATATATAAATCATATCAATGATTTTTTTTTTTTTTGAGAAAATTAACCATTTCTGTCGGAATGTCGGAAAAAGCCCTCTAGCGGCCAAATATTTGTAGCCCAAGAATAGCTCTTTTCAACTAGCTCAAGTTTGTTAAAATCAGCTCAGCCGTTTCGAAGATACGGGGTGTTTCTACGGAAACCTTTGACTACCCCCCACCACTGTATTTTTAAAGATACAGCAAAAACAAAAAAGGTTCAGATTATCCTCGGCTTTAAAGATCAGGTGTTTTTTATTGGGTTAATATAGCAGAAACATCACTTTTTTAGATTTAAGATTGCAGTTACGTCCCCTAGCGGCCATTTCAGAAACTTGAAAATATTGTCAAGGTGTTAGTAACAACTTGTTTTGCCGCAAGCCTCGCATTCTTAGTTGGTCACCCTGTATATGAGGTTTACAATTCAGCTAGTTCAACAGTGTATCCAATTTAAAGCAATTTTCGACAATGCAAGATTATGTTCTTTGTCAGTTCGTTTTGAACAAAGGAATTGGGCACACCTGAATCTGTGTTCATTACATTTCTAAAATGGGTCAAGAACAATGCAGTGTCCTCGAAAAATGGTGATTCACACCAACTTGAACCCGGTTTTCTATTATTGTAGGTCATTGATTCTGTTTAAGTCCGATAAAAACCGACACATCGCTCATTTGTTTCAAATTGAATCATATCAGTTCGGATATAATGATGACGATTTAAGCGGTTTTAAGTGGACGTTGGCCTAAAAAAATAGTTTCTATAATCGTACGGTTATTTCTAATAAGGAATTTTTTACTGTCAGATATTGGCAGATACAGGCAACCAAAATGATTTGAATTTGGGCCGTATTCATAAAACAAAGGATATCCTGGTACTTGCAAATTATGAAGGAAATCCTCCAGATGGTATTATAATAATTTGAAGTAAATGCTTTTGCTTTTTGAGTAAAAGCATATCCTTCAAAGCAGTGACATAAGTAAAAGGATATTCGTAATCTTCACCTTAAACTTGGCATAGGAATTCTTCAAAAATTCTGCAGCTTTTTTTTAATTCACTAACGCTCTAAAAATGAATATTTCAGCCGCAGTAAAGAATCAACGTTGGCGGATTTTGGTTCTTGACATCCTTTACGATCGGTTACGATGCCTAGAGTACGGAGACCTGTACGATTTCGTCAACTTAGTGAGTTTGATAGGGGCCGTATAGTGGGACTTCGGGAAGCTGGACTTTCTTTTCGGGCAATTGCAGTTAGAGTGCAAAGAAGTGTAGACACTGTGGTTAGGTGTTGTCAGGCATGGCTTCGAGAAGGCCGTACGCAAAGAGCAAGGGGCACTGGACGCCGCCGTAGAACAACAGACCGTGAAGATCGCCGCCTAAGATTATTGACCTTAAGGGACCGTTTCTCCACTACCAGGTCCATTGCAAATGAATGGTTTGTAGAACACGGAAGACCTATTGGCATGCGAAGTGTTTACCGACGAATGAGAAGTTTAGGCTTGTTTTCATACCGGCCAGACTGGGTCCTCCCTTTAACTCGAGAACACCGACGTAATCGCCTTGAGTGGTGCAGACAACGGTCACTCTGGGACCAGGAATGGAACAGTATTGTCTTTAGTGACGAGTCTCGATTTTGTTTAGGCATGCACGATGGTCGTGCCAGGGTTAGAAGGCGACGTGGTGAAAGGAGGAATCCACAGTTTTTTGTTGAAAGACATGTTCATCACACTGTTGGAGTTATGGTTTGGGGTGCTACAGCTTATGGTTCCAGGTCACCTTTAATCTTCATCAGAGGTAACATGAACGCGCAGCGTTATATCCACGAAGTTCTAGAACCCCATCTTTTACCCTATCTTGACACCCTGGCAGATCCAACTTTCCAACAAGATAATGCCCGACCACATGTTGCAAGAGTCACAATAGACTTCTTTCAACATAATGATGTCACATTGTTACCATGGCCACCAAGATCTCCCGACTTATCCCCAATTGAGCACGTGTGGGATATGATGGGTAGGAGATTGCTCAATTTGCAACGTCCTCCTCAGACTCTAGAAGCACTTCGAGAGGAGTTGGTGGTTGCCTGGAATGAGATACCACAGGAGGACATTGACCACCTAATCAGAAGCATGCCTAGGCGCGTTGGAGAATGCGTAGCACATCAGGGTGCATCCACACATTATTAAAGGTCAAAGGGCTTTAAAGCAGTGCAATCATTTTGAAATTTTTATCATTTACTTATTATGCTCCATTAAGTACTTATACAAAATTTTATTAAAATAAAACCATTTAAACTGGGTGTTCGGATTTATATGTCACTTAGTATACATAATGTCAAAGTAGCAAATTTTTACTGCACGCCACTGGAGGCAATAACGTTCAATGAGTGTTTCAATTTTTTCTCGGGCTCAAGAAATTCCACCTTATGCAACAAGATTAGAAAAAATAACCATTATCAAGAGAAACCCCCATAAAGTCCCTTTTTAGGCATAAATGTAAATGTAAAATTCGACAATTTGAGTTACAGCCAACTTTCGAAAAAATTTGAGAAATTTCTTTTCTTAGGATAGTCCAAAGATAAAAAAGATGCATACAAAAATTTCCAAGATTAACTAATCTTGTCTGTACATGATTCAAAAAGATGGGTCGTTCACTAGTTTGTTCTAAACTTTTTTTTACGTGCAGAGTCAACCTACTCGACTCCATTTTCACGTGTTGCATAACGTTTTGTCTTGTTTATAATATTTTACCAGTATTTAAATTATGACTTGCATAATCATTGGCACATTATTCGGCTGTCTCGGATTTTTTAATCCTAATTACAAAGAATTGCACAATCTCGCATCTCAAAATAACTTCTGCTTCATTGTCTCGGGTACTTTGTTCTGCCGTCCGCTCGGTTGCAAAGCGCGGGTACATTTGCACCGAGACACCGATTACCTCGTTACCAGAAGCACAAGACTCTCGGTACACGTGCACTTGCACACTGGCCTGAGTACATTCGCACCGGAACGAGCTGAGTAATCGGAACGCCGACGTTTTGTGTCAAATAAGCACATTCGCAATTTTTTTAATAATTATCCTTACAGTAGCGTAAGCAATTCTGTTTCAAATGCAACTGAACCGGGCATTTCAAATACCTCCGTTATCGATTATTTGTATTTATTGGTTCCAAGTTGTGCACATCTGGTATGTGTTTTGTTTATTTTCAAGGAAAGAGCTGGTGAAAAGAGGGAATTAATTTGTATAAAGAGGTAGGTCAATGTGGTAATAAGGAGCCGTTCAAGTATTACGTGAGCACTATGGGGGCGGGGGGTCTTTGCTTTTTTACACGAATGGCAAGCCTCACATTGTCTTTGATTGAAAACGAAACGCATTTTCGGGGATTCCTGCAAATAATGCATACGCTTTAGAACCGAGTAGGGGGAATTACCGCGCGGTGTTCACTTGTGTAAATTTCTTCTATTAGTGTACTGTTTCGTTTGGATACTATAGCGAGTAGACGTATTGTAAGCATAGTAAAGCAAGTTAATATTTGTGTTACCATTGATTCCATTAGCCAAAGTTTAATGTTTAAATAAGATGTCGTTTCACATAGACAAATCCAAGTTATACCAAAAATTGTTTGAAAGTTTTAAAAAATCTCGTACAAGTACCAAAGTACAAAATGTACAAAAGTTAGTTAACGAAGTGTAGCGAAATTACAAATTACAAGCAAAATCCGACAAGGAACTAGATATTATTGTATCTAAGAGAATCGAAGAAGAATTGCAAGCGGCGACTAAGAATAAATCCAATCTACTAAAGTTTTTTTCTAAGATGAGTGTCGAAATCATTTTAGGTACCTTTGAGTACTAGAAATATTAGAAATCGCCAAAAACTTTCTCTTTACTGATTAGAAAATATTATGGTCTATCTCAAAGTATAGAGGTAATATTCATTATATTATAGATTTATTTCTTATGATTGATTCCGTCAATAGGTCACAAAGTACAGGATGTTAGTTTCATACATATATACAGAAAACTAACACCCTGTATTTTGTGACCGGAACGAATTGCTCGTTTAAACATATTAGATATAAAGCTATAGGGTTTTGTATTTACCATATATATTGCCATACTTTGTATTTATGTAGCTTAATAAGAGAATCTTTAGCAGAAAGTTTTTATTTTTAGGCAACCTGTAAACCTGCAGAAAAAACACAAATTATACAGTCAGCTTCAAATATTAAAAAAGAGGAAGAAGATAAAATAAAACCCGGTAATGAATCACAAAGCAATGCGAAAT